GATTTAGGAATTTATTATTTACTTGCCCATTCAGGTTTTATTGTATTATAAATATGACCTTCTACAAGGAGAAGAATACACAGAAAATTCCCACAAACAAATATTCTCTCATAATTTTCATATTTTAGCACCTCCCACAACCACCAGTACTTGCTGTTCCTCCTCAGTCGACACAAATGGCGAAGCAAAATTTTTACCATCTCTTCCATGTGTGCCAAACTGTACTCCAATACCTCTAGCACCCACTTGAATAGCTGTTGTACTAGAATAACAATATGTAGTAGAACTATCAGGAGCATGGAAGTCCTGAGAGAATACTACTTTGAAATCTCACAAACTTTCTCTACCGACTAGACCTTTTCTACTCTCCTAGAGAAACCCTAGGATAAAACAACTGTTCATAATTATGGCAGATCTGGGTTATGTCAATTGGTCATAGTAGTGAGTCCGCCCCTTGCACATAAATTCAAGTCTTCTCCTTATAGATTAGCTAGATTAAATTTTAAATAGTTTACAACCAAGCTTGTATTAAAAAAAAAACAATTGTTCTTAATTATGAGACATAGTGAGTGTTAAACATATCAATCATTGATGTTTGTTTGTGTGCATAATGAGTCACTAGCCTCTCCGCATGTGCTTCCGCTCTTGCGAGAGGATATATATATATATATTTTTAATTTATTTTAGAATTACAAAAAATAATGGGTAGTTGTGTTCCATAAAAATAGGAACCATTATCTGATTTTTCTTTTATTTTTAATTTTGTTTAATATGAAAAAGTGTGAATTTACCAATATATCCTCATTTAATTAATAATTTCAATTCTTAATGTTTGCATTAATCAAAGGCATTTATGGTATTTTGAATGTTTCACCATTCTCTGCCTTTTGCTTTATATATATAGATTAAGCATCTACTATATATACTGGAGAGATAAAATATTAAATTTGTTATAATATTATGTCTAACCTTGGTGTTCTTGCAATATTCAAGGTTGCTCCAACATGACTCATCGACCACCACATCAGGGCTCCTGGTGGGGTTCATGTATACTGTACCAATTGACGACGTGAACACAACCCTTTTAATCTTGGCTTCTGCCGCCGCAACAATCACATTTTTTGTTCCATTCACCGCAGGCTCCATCATTTGTTCCTATATTTGTTCCATCATTCATTGCCTTATTAAAAAAAGGGCTGGATATAGGCAATGGCGGATCCATAAATTTTTCAGGAGAGGGGTACCATTTAAAAAGCTAAAAGTTTCTTTACCCAAAAAACAAACTAGAAGTTCCCAAAAAAAAAGTATTAAGACAAAAAAAAATAAAAAATTCTATTTAAACCCCACAGTTCTCTTAGTTCACCCTATGTTCTAAGTTCACCCCAACTTTTAATTTAAATTTTCACAATTTCTAAGAAAACCCCACTATCTTCCCAAACTACCCTTAAATACACCCCAAACTGAAAAAATAAGAACTAAAAGAGATTTTCTATTTAAACCCCACAATTTTCTTTAAGACAAAAAAATAAAAATTATTCCCAAAAAAAAAGTAATAAATATTAGATATGTTAATAAGTGGCACGAGAAACTACAACCTATTCAATTAATTGTGAATTCTAGAGTCAAAGAAAGAGTTATTGAGGGCCCATCTTTTTGGGCTTTACCAATAAAATGCATGCTTGCTTTTGGAGAACTCAAGCGTAACTGAAACGATGTGTTCCATTAAAAGAGATCAAAGAAAGGGTACGTTGTCGTTCTAGCAAAAGAAATTAGGTCTATCTTCTTCTTTGCGAAAACTTTCTCCTCAGACTCCATACATCAACCCATTAATTTCGAAATCTATATATAAAATCAAAATTCAAATGAAATATATAAAAGGTCATATTACTCGTACATATTTACATTGATTGCCACTAAGATTCAAATAAGTGAAACTGATTGTTTTCAAACATGTCAGTAAGTCCTTCATTTCTAATTAATACTTCAACATAAAATTGTATGTATGCTATTATATTTATAAAATAATAATGTAATAGATAATTAATCACGTATATAAGTAAATTAAAAAAAAATTATTGGATAAACTAATTAGGTATGTTAAATCTGAATGTATTGTTAAGTTTTAAAAAGTTTCCAAATTAATCCTACATCTATTTGGAGATCTTTTCAAATTCAACGTGTGTCATTAGTTACAATCTAATTAAAATTTGTTTCTGTGTTGGTTCCTACATTAATATACAAAATATAATAATAACTTAGTTGGGGGTATTATAGGAATCAAAAAGTACAATAAATTCGATTTTGCGTTTGATTAGGTAACTTCCCGAGTTGGATCCTAGTCATCGGGATTTATTTAGAAAAAAAATTGGATATTATTCAAACAAAAATAAAGAGATGGGTTGTAATTGAAAAAAATTACTTTGAAGGGGTTAAGTTAAATTTACTATTAAAAAATGACAATAACAAATCCAATCCCTTCAAAATATTTTAATAGCATAGAGATAATATATTATAGTAGAAAATCATGAGCAAATTTTATTAAGGTGCAATAATATCTTTTTATCAAGGCATTTGGGATACATTTTGGAGAAATTATTTATGGTTCTAGAATACATCCACGTGTTAGTGTATGGCCTAAATTGGTTTTAATTTTAAAACCTCATTAATCAAAAAAAAAAAAAAAAAAAAAAAAAAAAAAAAAAAAAAAAAATAAAAACTGAAGAGTTTAAATTTTTTTATTTTTTTTTATAAAATGGAAATCTGGAGAGAATAACACTCGAAAATAACTTTTCTAAAACCCATTTCAACCGACATAATTTCCTCGAATATAGTCTAATGGCATCAAAGACAAAAACTAGCCTCGACATAACTCTTAAAAAGACGAAGAACACCCGGCAAACTCAAACTAGCTTTTGAAATCATGAGAGGAAAAAACACATAAAATTCATAAACTTTATGGACTTTATTGAACAAACTAAACCAAAATAATACTAAAAACTAAAACGACATCGGCAAAAGGAAAATTAACTACCACTAATCTTCTTTCGAGGTAAGACATAGAGAGCGCCACCTAATTACTCCGGGCCTCAACGCACCAATGAGTAGTGGATCTACCATGATCAAGCCGCAACACCTCAAACAGCAGCCTCGCAAGATGAGGCACAACCAAAGCTAGCCCAGATATTGTTTGTGCCTAATAAATCACAGTCATGAACTGATTGAAGGGACTTCCCTTCGGCCCTGGTGCCTACTGTTTCGTCAGGCATTTCGCCTTCCTAAGAGCAAAAGAAAAGCTGCAAAGGCAGAATCCCCTCGGTCTCGCGACCGCAGTTTTAAAGGCTGAGGCCGAAGGCCGTAAAAGACATGGTCTGAAAAGCTGTGGTTGAATCGCCACGTGGCCTCAAGGCCCCACGCTCCATGAAGTAATGCCTCTAACTTCGCAGCAAAACCCACTAGTCACAAGAAACATTCAATGCACGAAGGAAGTGACTGAAGTCAGGATTTGGTGATGGAAATCAGGGTGGTTAGGCGCAGACATTCTCACAAGTAATCTTACGACTTAGGGTCAGGTCACCAACCACCAGACCAGGGCATTAAATGCGTTCCCACGGCCAAGGGGGCAGAACCCACGATCAGGGTGGTGGCCGAGATTTGCCGAGATTTATGGGAGTCACACCACCATGCTTCTCAACCCCAGACCACCATGCTTCACGATCCCAAATGCCGATTTGACTACCCACTTGCCCCGGTCAGGCTCCACCACGCAGGTCTTGTCAGCCTCGAATGTCCCTCCAGGACTCCTATAAATACTAAGCTCATGTCCACATTCAAAGGGTTCAAACACCAAAACTAAAAGCCTCCCACGGAGCAAATTATATTTTCCTGTAATGCACTTTGAATACCTTTATTTGCTTTCTTAGGAGTAGTGGTAGACTGTAAGGAAAATCCATTCATCAATGTATCATACGACCCTTGATTTTCAAGGTGCCGGAGCACCATCTCTGTTATCGCCTCACTCATCCCATATATCATACCACCGTCCCTCTCTGAGCAACGCGCCGGAGCACCGCCTAAAACCCACCACCAACACTATCACTAGACGGCCTTGTAGCTCAGGCCGTGAACCTGACGGCCGAGATTCGTTCCTCACTCGGCCATGATCATTTCATTAGGAGTCGAACGCAAAACGGGCGCAACATTTAAACCATCTTCTTCCCGAACCTCATCATCATCTCGACACACGGTAGACCGTGCTGGCACGCCCGCACACAACCGCACCGCATCCAAAAGAAGGACGTCACGTGTTGACGCACATCCCCTCAGCCCGGAGCACCAAGCCGTGAGATTCGCGACAAACCAACAGATATGAGACAACAGATCTCCCAAAAGATAAATAGATCAATAGAGGTCGCCCAAAAACCAAAGAACATCGAAGATCCAACAGAATCCAGGAGCCGAAGGGTCCTCTCTCTTTTTCTTTCCCTCTCTTAGCGGCTAGGGTTATGTGCCCTAAAATGTGAGCTTTTTACCAAACTACTAGACATGCATGTTATTTTTCTTTAATTTTTTTTTCTTATCTTAATCTTTAGTTAAGATGTAATCATGACACCATGCAGCAAAAATGTAAATTGTTTCATATAAGATAATGAATATATCGTTACAATAGTGGGACGTGAATTTGAAAGCTAATTTAAGAAAATATGAAAAGGGAAATATCTTCACCCAACCAAAACCAATATCCGTTACCAAAATATTCCTTTATGGGACTTGGAGAAAAATTTTGGAGGTACACAACATCACAATCGACAAACGCAAGTGGTTTCCCAGAACCACCACGTAATAGTATTGTTTGAAGGATCCACAAACTGATCGAAAAAGTGTGCATGCATGGTATTTTCCACCACGTAAGAGAAAAAGTGTGCATATTTTCCGGCATTTTCTCAGCAACCAAACAGGAAAAGGAAGAAACAAAGTAAGGAAGCAGAGAAAAAAAAACTCACTGGGTCATCCGTAACCGGTGATGCTGTGTGAAAAACGCCATCACAGCCGTTGATGGCTTCTTTAAGGCTCTCAAAGTCAAGAAGATCAGCTTTACGTAAAGTCAACCTATCTTGAGCTACTTCAAGCTCCCTCAAATGAGCATTCTTTGGGTCATCTGTGATCAACCCAAAATAAGAAAAGCACCAAAAAGGAAAATAAACATATCAATACAAGGAAGAATTATGTCTTCTACACTATCTGTTACGTGTTATGTCAAACTGGGAATCAAAACCGCAAGTTCATATATAATTCAAATAAATTAATGGCGGGTTCTAATTCACAGTCTCACAACATAACATGTTGATACTCCGAATGGGAGACAAAAAACAACTCAGAGGCCAAGAAGATAATGATTTGGATTTTGGAGTGACCTGGGTTTCTCAAGGTTCCCCTAACAATGTAGCCTCTTTCTAGCAACAGTTTGACAATCCAGGAAGCAATGAAGCCTCCAGCTCCGGTGACACAAACAGTTTGGCCATGGCCTGAAACTGAAGAGCTATCGGCAGGCATCTTAATACTTAGCTTGGTTTTAGGGTAATGAATGTTTTTTTGTTTCTCTTTTGGGTGGTGGGAGTGGAAGAGATCAAAATAGAGACAGAGAGAGAGTTTGAAGTTTGTGTTTTGTAATGGAATAGCTACTAGTGTGGCTTTATAAGGAGGAGAAGAGCCTACCAGATTACCTACCACCGGTATAAAATAAAAAATTATTTGAGAAAAAAGATAAAGATATGTGAGGCTTTAACAATTGCTTTTTCTTTCTTGGTCTGAGCTTTAACAATTGCTTTGTCTAACAAGTGGAAGACAAGATGTCTCATGAGCCAAGACTTTCTATTTTTTTTTCTTTTCGTTGTAGAATAATGATATTTTAATTGGTGTTATTGGTGGCGTTTAAAATGAGTGGTTTATGAATTCTTACGCTTGAGTTTGGTTATAATCTTTTATTTATAAAAGTACACACCAATCAATCGTAATGAATTTGGTCCTTCATGGTTGACACATCAATTTGGTCCTTGTTATTGTATTCCGATAAAATTTTCAATAAAAACTGATTATGTGTCATCGCATGAGCCACTTTAAAGGTATATTATCATCTATCAAGGAGACTTAATGAGTAAAATAAATTGTATTTTAATGAAAATACCCCTTCAAAGTTGGTTAGACTAATTTTAATGAAGATTTTGACAAATACAATGACAGGGACCAACCTGTGTGGTAAAGTTATGGGACCAAAAAAGATTAAGAACCAATTGATTGATTTGAAAATTTAAGTACTCAATTGAGGACTTAGGAAAAGTTATGGGACAACTGGTGATAAAGTTATGGGACCGTTGAAGATTTTGACAAGTACATAGACGTTTCTGGTCAATTTGGTGGGTTTGGTTAAGTCAATTGCAACCCAGGTTCGGTGTTTGATTTGATCTAAATATAATTTACTTAATTTTTTTTTCTGGCCCTTAATTTCTTGAAATGATTTCTTCCCATCAAAAGAGAAAAAAATAATATAACAAAAAAAAACAAAAAAACTTACTCTTTTATCTATATATATAAAACAAAAGGCAGATAATTGTGAAACATTCAAAATACAAGAAAATGCCCTTAGTTAATTCAAATATTAAGAATTGAAATTATTAATTAAATGAGGATAATATGGTAAATTAAAACAAAATAAGATAATAGGTCCAATTTTTATGGAACATAACTACCCATATTATATTTTCTTAAGTTTAAAAATAAAATAAAAATATATAAAATAAAACCAATTGGCACATGCGTGAGCATGTGCCAAGGGGCTAGTTTTATCATAATTTAAACTACAAGGGAATGAGGTTTCTTACACACACTACTAAGGTGATATGAGAGTTCAAACTTGAGACTATCGATATGCAAATCAAGACCATTTTCCAATGAGCTAGACCCGTTGGCTTAAAAAATAAATTTTAATTTTAATTTTTTTTAAACTTATTTTATTTTGTTAGAGACAATAATGGAGCTAAGAATGACCAGGTACAAATAGTAGAGCCCATTTATTGGGTTAAGAGGCTACTCATTCTTTTAATGAGAAAAAGAACCTATCCTCTCAACTTCTTTGACTGGCTTTTTTTCTTTCTTTCTCCAAGTTCTTTGAATCGTTTCTTCAATTGAGTTTGAAAGTAAGGAATTAATGTATTAATTAAAGACATATCAGTTGGAAAGTACCATTTCAACCAAAAGATGTATTGGTTGGTTTGCATCTTTTCAGCTAAAGACATATTGGTTGATTTTTCCCTTCTCAACCAAAAGACACGTCGGTTGGTCAAAGAATCAAATTCAATTGTCGTGGAACTCCATCTATCTCTACATAAAATAAGGATATTTTATTATTGAAATGTCAACAGAAGTTTGAAACTTCGGATTTTTTTTCCAACAAAGTGCAGAGAAAGCTAATAAGAAAATAAAAGAGTTCGATATGGGATATATTTTTCATTAAGAAAAAGATGAAATCTAAAAGGCTCATTTGATAATCATTTCAATTTTTTTTTATTTTTTTATTTTTTATGCTAGAGTACAGAGTAAAAATAGGGAGAATGGAAGTGAGAATGAGAGTGAAGATGAAAGGAGATGATGAGAGTGAGGAGTAACAAAACTGAAAACAAAAACAAAAAAACTGAAAACTATTTGAAATTATTTTCACTTTCAAGTTTTTGTTTCCACTTTTGTTACTCTCTCTCATCCTAACTCCCATTCTCACTCTTATTTAACGCTATACTCTAGCACAAAAAAAATTAAAACTAAAAATTAAAATTGAAGTTATTATCAAACGGACCCTAATTGAGCTCATTTTTCAATACAAATAAAATGACCATAATAAAAGAGCCAGACCTTTTTCTTTTTTTTTTGGGTTAAGAAAAAACAAAAGTCAAGACCCAACAACCATTTTCCAACAAGACAATGAGGGCACAAATGTTGACAAAAAGGGGATTTTCAAAGGTCTACCAACCAAGTTCTCTAATCTTTTTTAATCAAATGCATCCTCCCCAAACTTTTTAATAGAAAAAAAGGGACTTCATGATTTGGTTTTTCTTTGTTTTAATTTCTTTGGCTTTGCAATTCCCACATTTTAGAGAACACCCCACATATTTTACAAATGAATAAGAAAAACAAGCTTTCAAATCACCATAAGCCATAACTCTCTCACCCAATATCCATGTATAACTTTGTCAATTGCGTGATATGGTGGCATGATATAAAGGATTATGGCACAGTTTTCACCCTTCTAATTAAGCTATCTCTTCTCTTTTATGACAATAACTCTTACTAATTAAGCTTTATAATTAGTTTTAGTCCACCCATTTTTGTCACAGAAATCGACCCAATAATACTTGTAGCAGAAAGCCCCAGAGCCAGAGCTAATTTGCGTGCACTTCAAAACGTCTAACAGATGAATGAGAACCAAAACCAAAACCAAAAGGCACTCTCAAGTCTCAAGTTCAACCAACTCTGCAATAAGCCCCACATGCCCTACACGAAGAATGATTAAATGTCACAAAGAAGGGCAACTCGGCCAACACAAAGAACAAGAGTCAGAAACGTTCCTTTTGTAAATGATATTGGACTAGGGGAATTCAAACACATGATCACGAGTGCAGGGGTAACTATTTTTAATCATATGAGCTACAAACCCCTAACAAGGGACTTCTTTATATAGTTTCAAGGCCTAAAATGGTTATATTAATTACATATGATTAGGTGCCAATTGAGTCTCATATACCTTTAATTTAAACAAAACTTCCAAGCAAAAGACCCATTAATGTAGTAGTTTGGAGTCATTGCTCTCCTCCAGGCAAAGTCTTGGGTTCAAGTCCTAGCATCCGTGTAGTATGTGTAAGTTTAGTATATTACTGCCCTTCTCAACAAGAAAGATCCTAAAAAAAAGAAACAAACAAACAAACAAAACTTCCAATGCCATCTTTTATAAAATAAGATGGAAAAAAGAGAGGACTAGGCAAAATAATACAGCAAATGCCACCATAATGGCAGGTGCTGTAATAACAAGAATATGAAAACGATAAACTTACAAGCCAAGCACAAGAGCACTCTAATTGAGTTCAGATGTGGGTTTCTCCCCTACGTTCACAGTAAGAGTTCAATTCTTGTGTCTCCCTCTCCCCTGAATACAATTAAAAAATAAATGAATTTCTTTTTAGAACCTTAGCAATTCAAATTCCATATTCCAAACAATGATGACCAGAAGAAAGTCGGCAATCTTCACCCTATTGAAGATGGAATGCCATAATAGACAATTATCCTATTGTCTTCTATAGGATCTTCTATAAGGAACTCAGAATCAGTACCCTCATCTTCGACACCCTCAAATTCAATACAACAACCCTCTCAAATTTCCCTCCAATGCTAAGTGTTCTATCTTCTACCCTAGGCAAGGGCTTTCTACCCTTGTGGCATATCGACGCCTTGATTCATGAGCCAATGGACATCATTGCAACTCAACTACCCATAATGACGCCTCGTTTCCAACATTAACGACCTTCATTACGATCTGATTACTCAAACTATTTCTGCCATGTGGCATGCATTTGACTACCAACCTCTGAACTTTCTCAAAATTAGCACGACTTGCGCATAGTCTCCTTACCAATTGACAAGATGCATGTCGATCGTGTAGGAGACTCTCTTGTACCACATGCATGCAATCTCCCAAATAATCGACAAGATGCATGACGATCGTGTAGGAGACTCTAGTGCGACAAGTGCCTAGTCTCCCTACCAACCTGGAAGATGCATGTCGATCTTGTAGAAGACTCTATGCGCGACTGGCGCTATATGTCTTAATTCACCTCCGGTTATCTCCATGCCAAAACAACTTCTAGATTGCAAACTTGGGGGACTTAGGACTACCTCCGACATGCCGAACCGCTCGGTATGATTATTTGACATTTTACAAGTTCTCAACCTAGAAACCACTTCTCGACCAAGTGCATTCGTCATTAGGGGACTCCGCACAGAGACAGACCCATAAACTGTCAAAGAGGAGACACCCCAAAAAAACCTCTAACTTAGAGTATTGATGACATCATCATAACTAAAGGTACCGAAGATACATCTTTCTCCGATAGGGTAACAGACTGCCGAAGGCCAAGCCTGCAAAACCTAGACCTTGGGACACGTGTCATTACCACAATGATTTGCCCAAAGTCCCACATCGAAACTTTGTGCAAACATCCACTTCCCTTTTTCTATAAAAGGGGAATAGTGCTAAGGTGAAAAGGTAACTACTTTTAACCCTTACTCTTATTGTGGCAAAATTACCACTTACCTCATACTTGCTAACTTTTGACCCTTACCCTTACAACACTGGTGCCCGAAGCTTGATGAATGCTTGTCTCATTTCCCTCTGCAAGTTGATCTAGTTGCTAAAGGCATCCTTACCAAAGGTCATCCCCATTCAATCCTTGCTGAAGACTTCATACTTCATCATTCTAAGCAGAGCCGGCCCTAGTCCAGGGCAACTTGGG